AAAAAAAAAAGACACAGTTCCTGCTGGATTTGAGGCATCCCAAAAAGGGAAGTCCACACCCACCCTCATGGTCTCATCCCCTACAAGACACTATGCCCACTACAGGAAGGGGAAGCACTCTCTGGACTTTAATAGGGCTCCAAATTAATACGTTTCCATATTAACACTTGGTTTCCTATCTTGTATCCTTCTACAACGTTAAGTAAGCCTGGTGCCAGGTTTCAGTCCATTGCTTCCTGTGAATGTGAATGAAAATCCAAGAACCCACTGCTGCAGACTGTGCACACAAGGCCACTTTCCCTTACCTTGCAAGAGTCGAAACTAGTGGCTCAAAGCCCTCCGTTATCCTTCCTCTGACCTTATCTTCTAATAACTCTTCCTATGCTGCTCTAGTCACCGCCCTCCTTGCTTCCTTTGCATTTTTTGAACATACAAGACTCCTGCTTCAGGGTCTTTATTCTGGCTTTCCTCTGGCTGGAAGTTCTGACCCAGGTGTCTACCTGAGTAAGACTCTCACTTCAATGTTCGCTCACCACATACCTGGACCAGACCATTCTATTTACAATCATAAGCCCCATGCCACCTCTCATTTTCTATCTCCTGAGTTCTGCTTTTCTTTCTTTTCTCATGACAGTTTGATTTTCTAACAGAAATAATTTACTTAATAAAATAGCTTTATTGGCCTATAATTCATATATTATACAATTCAATCACATTAAGAAGAGTTGTACAATCATCACCAGAATCAATTTTGGAATATTTTCTTCTTTCTTGTACTTGTTGTTCACTCTCTATATTCCCCCAACCTCCTCTGCTATGCCCCTAGGAAATGATTAAATTAATCTAGTCAATGTCTCTATAGATTTATCTATCCTAGATTACATATATAGAAAATAGAAGGGGGGAAAAACCCCTGAGGGTGATGGGGTATTAATGGGCATTAATACACCCACAGGGAGGGTATTGTTTATGTCTCCACAGGAGAGGGAGAGAGGGACCAGACCCCATCCCAGAGCGCCAAGGCTTGAGGGCAACACACTGGCATGGAGCAGCGACCTAACAGAGAGGACAATACAGCAATATAGAAAACAGCACTGAAGATAGAGCCCAGGGGAGAGAGGCGGGTCTGTCCAGACCATACTTGAGTAAACTAAGAGAGAGAAAAGGAGGGAGGAAGGGAGGGAGAGGGAGAGGGGGAGAGAGAGAGAGAGAGAGAGAGAGAGAGAGAGAGAGAGAGAGAGAGAACCTCATCATGGTCCACCAAGCCCCTGGGACAACATACCTGCTCAGAGTAGCCAATGCACAGAACAGCCAATGCACCATAGGGCCGACCCCACCATGAGACACAGGATTCCCTCACTGACCCAGAATGCTACGAAGGACAGCAATGGAGACGCTGTGGAAAGTGTGCCTGGTCTACTCCACGCACGGCGGGGTGAAACACAAAGGGAGCGCAACAGGGCAGCAAAGTAACCAAGTCCCTGAAGAACCCTGAAAATAGACTTCTGACTTGGGGCACAGGGCTGGGCACCTCATCAGACTTGATTGGAAAACATACATAAGGGTCAGCAGACAGACCTGAAACTATCTATTAGGTTTTTGTTTTGTTCGTTTGTTTTTATTTTTATTTTGCCCTATGTCTATCTATATAAGATAGGGAGGACAAACAATCCATAGGAGAAAACAAGGGGACTGCCGGTTCCAGAGGGATACGGGAGAAGAGGGAGTGAGAAGGGGGAGTGGGAAGCCAACAAGCTCAGGGAAAAAGGAACAACAAGAGATCTACAATTGATGGCGAAGAGGGTACATAATGCCTGGTGGGGTTTAATCAAGTCCAATGTATCCGAGAGGAATGACTGAGAGCCAAATGGAGGGTGAGCATGACAGCGGGAGATAGGAGGAAGGTGAAAGGAAACAGAGAAAAGAAATAGGAGGCAAAAGCTATTTATAGAGGTAGAGCTACAGGCATGTATATACCATATATACTTGAGTATAGGCCGACCCTAATATCAGCCGAGGCACCTAATTTTACCACAAAACTACATTTAAAATGTGATGAAAAACTCGGCTTATACACAAGTATATATGGTATGTAAATATACTAATTTATAATGAAAGGGATAGAGACCAAT